TCTCAGAGGTTGTTTCTCAGGGTACCCAATGATGATGGTCTTCAAATATTCCTCAAGTGAAGATGGAATCTATCATCCATCCACCAATCTGTCTATCCATTTCTTTACACTATTGTTTTATTAAGCCATCCTCCTGGCAATTCAGAAGATTCATTGTTATTCTTTTCAATAACATTTCTTCAGGTTATAACTCACATCCTATTCACTAGATAGCCATTCCTTATGTTTAACTAACTTCCCAAAGTTTTATATTAAATGTGCAATGTTTAGGCATATTAGCATATTTTGTGGTGAAAATCTCAAAGTGCATCTGTTACTAAATTTGATGAAAATATTAGCATTTTGATTTCACCAAATTATCTGCAGAGGGCAGCAAAGAATAATCTTAATGTAAATAGATGATAAGTGACTAACCACAAGGTTTGTTTATTGGAACAAAAGAGACAACTGTGAACTCAGTGTGTCCAATTGGGAAAAAAAAAAGTGAGGGAATGGATTAATAGATCTATTTATGGAAGAAGAAAATCAGAGACAAGACAGAGAATTAAAAGGCAGGGTATTAAAGAAAGTATAATTAGCCATACAGTTAAGAAATAGATTTTGCTGTGACATTTCTTGGGCTTGAGTCCTATCTCTATCACTTATCATCTGTACTTATCATCTGGTAAAATCTACTTAATTTTTATTGCTTTAATTTCTTAAACTGCAAAATGGGGATAATAATATTTGCTATATAGGGTTGTTGAAAGTACTAAATGAGGCAATATTTTAAATCGTTTAAAACAAAGCCTGTGTGTTCAGTTTAAGGCAAACATTTACTCTGAAAATGACCAGTGAAATCTAAAATTCATACTAGGCATCAAACAAAATATGGTTACTAATTTCCCTGTTGGGTGTAGAGAATATTTGCTCCTAAACTTTCCTTTTTGTATAGTCTATAAAATCATAATAAAAAAATAATCAGTAGCTTTCAGGTGGCTATATATTTTTTCTAAATTTCTAAGGATAATTTTTGTGTAGTAAAAATTTCAAGATAAATATCAGTACAACAGTAGAATGTAAAAATAGATATGTGCATTTTGTGAGGTTCTTTTAAGTTACCAATCAACACATTTAATTGTGCATGGAGGAAGATCCAGAACTTCAGACAATTTTTGAGAACTTGGGTTGATAAAAAATTGCAGAGATGAATTGGAAAATAGAAAATGGATATGTCTAGGAGTGCAGTGATTTGATTTTACAGTGTTCTGCAGTAATGGTTAGATTTGGATATCTAATTGTGCCACAGGGGCAGGGAGGAAATAAAGAATGAAATGTTGTGGAGTTTGGGTTTCTTGAAATTCTTCATACCATTAGGCATTGTTCTTTTACCTCTATGAAATTTCTAAGTTAGACTTGGGTAGTGGTAGCACAGGGTAGATTGAAGGAAATGGGACTAAGTGATTAGCTGGTGTGTTTGTGTATGTGTATGGAAGGGTACATCAGACCAGATAGCTGAACTAGAGAGCTTGCCGAAAGTAAAGATGTTAAAGAAGCAGGAACTGGACTGTTTTTGCAAGGATACATATCCAGAAAATTCAGCTATGTGCCTGGGAGCAGGCAGATAATGAAATTCCAGGTGGTCAATACTCAAATAGAAGGTGAATGATTAGGTAGTGATCCTGCAGAATAAAGAGCCCAAGGAACAAGGGGTCAGGAATAAAAGGCCAAAGAGACTGCAGTAAATATAAAAGCTCCGTGTTCAGTTTGTTCATAATGGGAGGAGCCCCCGGGCAAGACTACAGTGTCCTACCTTAAATGATGGTGGCTAAGTCTGAATCTGACTTGGAGACAGAGAAGTACACCTGATCAGAAGAAATTTACTTCAGTAGCATTTGTAGGCAGATGAACCAATTTTGAGTTAATCAGGCAGTGAAAGTTTGGGGACATTGTAACTTAAATGAGCTCTAAAACTTACTAAATCTTTTTTGTTTTAGCTGCCACAACCATTAATTGGCATCACATCATTTTTTTTCCCTTCTCACATACCCTGATTCTTAGTAGGTATTATTGAAGAAAAGACTGGTAGAATAAAAGGTTGGAGTTTCTGGCTTGAGCAAAACTTTTCTCTTGCTCTTCTGCTGTTTTCTGGGTCCCTGTGCCCATGGGGCATAGCCAAGAAGAATTTGGGGCCTTTGGATTTTTTCAGAAAAT